ATGCAGAGGATCAGGTTCAGATGTCTCAGAGACTGTTGCCAAAAGTACAGGATATGTTTTGCTTTTGTTTCTTAGTGTCTATGTTCCTCAACTGTTATATAAAGATCGTATCAATCCATCCCACAGAAAAACTTAATATTGTGATTTTAGCATTAAGATTAGTAGGAAGGATTCTATTAGAAAATGAATAAATTTGTCTTCAGAATTGATTTGTATCGTATTTAGTAAGCAAAGTGAAGCCCTAAATATATTTGTGTAAAGGAACCCACATATTAAGGAACTGTTCATCAACTGAGTATGTCCACTATAATGAACAATTTGTGGATTCTGGAGGGAAAAAAAAAAAAAAAAAAAGACATTAGTATGTAGTCTAAAAGAGGTAGGCTCAAGAGGTTCAAAATTTTAAGCCTGCAGAGGCACAACTTTTCTGAAGTATTGCCTTGGAAACATTTATTTTAATATTTAAGAAGTTTTCACTTAATTTTAATTAGTTACAATTAAATATAGTATTTTGTATATGTAAATATTCAATTCATAACAGTTCAAACTTCATATCCTTAGAGAGAAGAAAATCTATGTACGTGTATATCTGGGGCTTGCAGTGGAAGAAATTTACCTAGTTTTAAGTACACCTTCATTTTTCTAAACATCGTTATAATTTGCAAGCTACAATTTAGATTCCTGGCTCAAAGCTGTTGGTGGAAAGCAAAACGTTTGCTTTTTCAATGTTCTATGCACCAAAAGAAGTTTACTTCTACCCTCTTTCTCCTGTAACAGTGTTGTGTTTCTTGTGCAAATTTACTAAATACTAATACTAGCACAAGTTTTTCAGAAGACACTGTCTCAGCTGCTTTCACTTGACCATTAACAATGTTCCACATGTTAATTTCTTTCCAAATTCTAACTTTGGCTCCCACCTGCAAATGTTGGGGGTTTTGGTTGGGGATTGTTTGGTTTTGGTTTTCTGTTTGTTTGGTTTGGTTTAGTTTTTTCCTGAAAAGTATTTCCATTCCTTGGGATTACCAGCTCCTTTAGTGCCTACTGCTTTATCTTATTGTTGGCATCAACACCTGGACCTCGTCATTTCAAAGAGGAATTTGTTTAATTTTAAAAAAATTACAGCAATTGCTACAGCCCTTACAGAGGGAGAACAAGAAATGGCACGGGAATAGCATTTTTGCTCAAATATTCAACGGAATAGAAAGAGTCATCCCATACTGACAATAACCTGTGTTGTCCACAGACGTGACAAAGAAAATGTAAGCAGATGGGACATATCTATTAACTATAAACATTCCTTCATTACTGTCATCAGATTTATTTTTAGGTACATTTATGTTTAGAACGTAAGCTAATGGGGATATGAATTCATAAACACACAATCTAGCCAATGACCTTATTAACTGGACATACAACAACACACTTGTATGATGCTGTGTTGTGCTCTTGAGTTCTTTTGTTTGACTTCAACTTGAAATGATATCACTGAAAATACTCCCAATTTGTTGTCAAATTATCTGACAAGCTTGCAGTCATAGCTCATGCACTAGGGTGCATGGGTGCCCAGCAAGATCAGGAAAAATGTTTTTCTTGCAAATCAGTGCACTATGGAATAGGTAAACAGCCTTCTGTCTTCCCTTTCCCCAAAGAGTAAAGTGATCACAGCATCAGGAAACAAATTTCATGGCTCAGTGGTGTAATTTGGGCAGCTAACCTATGAATTATGGTTCCCCCATCACCCTTTCAATTGCAAAAAAACCCATAATACTCCATAAACTAATAGACTTCATATTCAATAGGGAGTAAGAGCAGGATAGGCTTGGGGGAAAAAAAAAAAAAAAAAAAAGGAGGGAAATAAAGTATGATCTATGGATTTCACTTAGGACTGCTTCAAGGCCTGGGTATTATTATTAAAGTAAGAACATCCATGCTGTTTCCAACAACTACTCACCAAAGACAAGGAGATTAAAATAACCAACCCAGTCACAATTACTGATTTGCTTTAAGGACCATACACGTCTCACAGTCTAACAGACTGTAAAAAGTTAAATATTTGTTCACCAAAAAACGTGTACTACTGAACTTGAAGCCTTCTTTGGCACACCAGCTGAGAGGTACTATACAAAAGAGACAGAAGTACAGCAGTCAAATCTTGCCACTACTGGAAACAGTCAGAAATGTCACTGAATTCAGTGGGTTTGTGATTTCACCCTAGAAATTTATACGTACTTCAGACTAACAATGCGAATCTGGAAAAAAAAGATAGGCTCCCATTTGGGAGCAAATTATCTCACGACACTTTGGAATTGCCAAAGCCAAACAGATTAGGTCTCCTGATATGACTTACATGGAAGAAATGCTGTGAAGCCCCTGATCAGATCACACAATTGTATTTATTTATTTACTATGGTTTGTCCTTAAAGTTTTACAAATTTAAGGAAACAAACCATCAAAAGGATGGCAGAAAGGGCTTAATACGACTGGTGGATGAACCAGACCTATCAGACAGTTTGCATGACCCGTTTGTAGCACCACTAACAACTGCTGCCTGAGTGCTAGCATAAACATCACCAGAGAATGGTGCTTATTTTATCCCGGCTTTAGTGCACATAAGAACGCCTTTTATTAAGATGTTTTGCAGTTGAATATTGGCTCTACTGTTACCAGGAACTAAAGGATCTTTAACGTCCATTTAACCAGTCATATGACGTGGAAGATACAGTGTTTTCTGACGGCTATTACAGACAGCTGCTTTGTACTCATGGTCCTGGGGCAGTGTCATGAGATGTTATAAGCAGGCATATACAAAACTCCCCAATATCACACCATGAAACCAGATGGTCTCAGTTGACTGATGGAGAACTGCAAGGTCTGGGGATCTGTTATCCGATCGTGACCTAGTACACCAAAATACAGCAAATCCTTTTGGGATCTGTATCTCATAGCCTTGGTTTGCAGCATCCCACACATGGAGCTGTCTGATCAGTCTTACTGTAAGCTGCAGCAGACATCTGTGGAAACTGGCAAACAAGTACAAAAGCAATCCAAGCTACCGAGGAGACCCTGCCAACTTTTAAAATGTTCTTACACTAAGGCACACCTGGAATTTGCACAACCTTGGACTAATTACCAGAAGGACCTGTAGTTGTATGGGCAGGATAAATAAACAGTAGCCCTGCAGGAAGATAAATTTCTCAAAAAGTCAATCTGTCATTACTTTCTTATCCTTCATATAGAAAAAAAAAAAATCTCGTAAGTATAAACAAGGAATCACTAAGCTCAGCAAAGACATTCTGGAACTGCTACTGCTTTTAAGAATTATTTTTTTTTATTTCATAAAATCTAGAAGGATATTTAATTTCTAAAATAAAAAACTACATTCCAGCCTTGCAAAGAATTTACGTGTGTCCTAAATTCCATACAAAAAAGTTAAAGCTGAAATTATACTGTCCTGAAATCTATGGAAAAACTGAATGGAATCAGGATTTCCCTAAATTGAATTCTACCTCCAATTGTACAAAAGAGCATTATGCAAAAGTTTGAAGGTTCTAGAGAGGTTACCATTGATGAAACAGCAACCCATTATTTTCCCTTATACGCTAAACTTTTAACGACTGGAAAAATCATTCTTTATAAAAAATCTCAGTATCTTAGGAAACACAGGCGTCTAACTCTATCAATTCAACACCATAATACTGGCTTTAAAGGGCTGGAGTGTCACAGAAATATCAGCCTTATATCAGCACAGAGGTTAAAAATACCCAATGTAAACCCAAATAAAAGCAAAGGGGATTTCCATTGCTTTTCATTCCATTCCATCAAATACAGAATCCACTGTATTCGATCAGGCTCTTTCTGGATACACATAACAGTTCATCATTCATGCACAGATAAATATGAGTGTTTGCTTTTCAAGCGGTTTTACTTACTTATTTGTGCTCTATTTTTCTTAAAACTACTCAGCTGTTTAACCTGTCACACTTAAATGAATCATTTCCGTAATGCTTGATGAAATTTTGCACCAAATGCAACGTGAAAGGAAAACCGTAGTAAAAGCCTGAAATTGTTTAAACAACAAAAATAGAGAAATTCATCTCTAAGTCACACCTGTTACTATTGCTTCAGCTTCTCCTATCCCTCCTTCTCCACACATTGCAATTTCATCTGACTGATCTCCTTAGGCATTGTTTTACACACCCTTATTTCCTTCTCACAGACAACGTCCCAGTTCTAACACGTTGTTTTTCCACATATGGACAGTATAGGGATCTGGAGGTTGGTCTATCGCTAATGCCAAGTCCAAATAGAGACTATTGTTTGCTGTAGAGAACTCTGGAATGATGGCAGCAAGACAGCAGTTCAACTTGCACCCTCATGACTAAAAGAGATCAAACACGATGCACGTTTTGATACATAGGGATAAGGGGAGACTGTCTTTACTAAAAGAAAATGAGTGGGAGACAGTTTTTAAATCAAGATCTGACACCTACCTAGAAGCTACATTACTGAATAAATAAAGAATTATGGACTCAATGAATATAGGTAAGATTTTTGACTCTATAACTCAGAAGGTCAGACTTGACTGTCATACTGGTCTTCTCCAGACTTAAAAAGTAAGAATGCAATTTTAGCCGAAAATACTAAACAGAGATGAGGTAAGCCAAGCAAATCATTATGCATAATGTTGCAGTTAGCCAGCACAGACATTATGAGAAAGTCATGTGCTCTTTCGTGGGGATTTAGCCTTTACCCACGATTTCCACACATAACAAAAACAGTACCTTTATTTTCAATAAGGCTTGCCATTGAAAGAAGGGCGGGAAATCTTCCAGTATTATTTTCTACCACAGAACACCTCCTATGCAGCAGTTCAAAGGCACTATAAAACCTCGTTTTGATGAAACGGACATCCCTATCACTTTTCATGTTTTTACATTCCTTTCAGAGCAATGAACTCCTCTCCCCAGAGATCTCAGTGAATTAAGAAAGAAAGAAATTACCTGTAACCAGAGTCTGTCACCCGAGTCTGTTCCACCATTGGCCGTGCATTGAAAAGTAGCAAATTGTCCTGCATTGACTTCCACACTCTGAAGACGCAAGAAATGGGGAGTTTTTGCTGTTGGAAGAAGATAAGTATTGAAGTTATGCAACATGGAAGTACAGTCTATGAATAACACACCCAGCAAATGAAACTGCTTTAAAAGGGTCACATCACTGACTACACATTAGATCTCAGGTTGGTTTACTTCCATACCTGGGAAGAAGCAGAAGAGAAGGGTGCTATTGAATTCTTCCTGCTGTGTAAGTTACCTTAGCTCAGTATCCCTCTTGCAATAACACCTTATTAATGAAGATCATATTGGAAACTTATTATGTTTTGAACAAAAATCTATTAGATACTGTTTAGTCTAGTTGGTAGTGTAAGAAAGAAGTTGAGTGATGTTGTCAGGGAAACAGGTTTTTCTTTTTAAGCAGGTACAGCATCTATAGAAGAGATGCTTTAGAAATATAGCACACCAAACAGCTAAAATACTAACACACCACTTCTCACCAACCACGGCTGTATTCTTTAAATACAATTCTTTTCAACAACACTGCAGTAAAAAACCAAAACACAATGCATTCTCCATACCAATACTTATTTTTCACTTAGAAAGAGAAAACACTCTCAGTAAAAATTAAAGCAATACAGCTACAAATAACCTAATGAACGAAACAGATATTCCAACAAGAACTATGTCCGCTGAAGGAAGAAAGACAACATGTGTATTTTTCTTTTACTGGAAAGAGTCCACCACATGACACAGAAAACCAGAAAAATTTGATACAGAAACTTATCCTTGAAAAGGCAGTATTCCCCAACCATTCAAATCCTACTGCGGGCAAGGGGGCTTTTTGCACTGTCTATACTAGCAGATAAGCCAGGCTCTGAACACTGCTTTCAGACATGGAAATGTTAGTACTGGCAAACTAAACATACATTTTCTAGCAGAACATCACAACCATTTAAAGTGTTGATGACATTTTCTTAAAAGACCTTATCACTAGGAGAAATTGCAGTTATAAGGAATTTATAAATAACTAGCTACCAGAATTCAAGAAAAAGGTACTTAATGTCCAGTGCAAGGCTCTGTAAGGAGGAAGGGAGGGAATAAAACAGCCCAAATTAATATCTAACTATGGAAGGAAATCTTTTCATGACAACCATCCTTATGGTAGATTTATTAGACGTACTGCTTTTTTATTGTCTTAAACACCTCCCAACTAGGACAGAGACTTTAGGTCAAAGTCATCCTCCTCTGACTATCACAGAATCACAGAATGTCAGGGGTTGGAAGGGACCTGAAAGATCATCTAGTCCAACCCCCCCACCAGAACAGGACCACCTAGAGCAGGTAAAATTCTTCAATAAGTTCCCCATTTCTCCATCATCATCATCCTCCCCCCCGCTTTTTTTTTTTTACATCTGCTTTTTTACATCTGCTTTTACCCTACTCGTTTGTTTTTTTTTCCTCAGTCTTCTCAAACTCTGGAAAACTAGCCTTTCTGACTTACCAGGTATGGACTAAGAGAACAGGGGCATTAGGTTTTAAAAACAAACAAAACCCAAACACATACACCCATGCACCAAGAAAAACCCCAACCAACCACCCACCACAATCCATCCTTTTCAGTTTTACGTGCTTACAATTTGCCTTCTGCTTGGTCTTTGTCTGTACTACCCAGACAACTGCCTAGCAAATATTTTTGCCATTTGAATTTTTGTTTAAAGGATTAATCATTCCAAAAGTTCTTTTTCTGACAATACGCAGAAATGAATAGCATTACAGGTCTTGCAAAATTTTAGACACATAGTATTTCTATTTCAATTTTCTCACTTTCTCAATTTTCTTGTACACAATGTAACTGGTTTGATGTCTTAATTTCTAACATTTTAATTACTTCATCAAAGAACTTTTCATTAAAGCTTTCGCATTTCAACACTGCCACGTCCAAACTCTACGTGCTATGGGGTATAACCCAACCTCCACATTAACAAGAGCCACTTGCAGGTTTTGAAAACTGATTGGTACAAATGCACAGATCAAACCTCTCAAAATCTGTGTAAGAAAAATTATTAAGCTGGTAAAATGCTGCTTTAGACTTACCGTACCTGAACCAAAGATATACCTTCAAAATGCAGAAGCTCAAACTGTCTAACAACATGAGTGCCTACTGTGTTTATTAAAACTAAGTGATTCAGAAATAACAGCTGCTGATTCTGCATAACTGTATTGGAAGAAATGTCGGTGTCTTCTTGCCACTTAACACTAAAACCATTTTTATGAGGTGCTCTGGCACTAACTGATAGATAAACCACTTTTTATTTTAAACTGCAGCTCTTACTTACAAGCCACAAAGAATGCATACAAGCACAACATGATACAAGAGGAAGGTGAGCAATTACACAGAAGTTGCTGTCTTTTTCCCTACTCAGTCAGTTGGTCAGTAAGATTGAAATCTACAATTCCATACTGTATTTAACAAGTAGCACTGTGTGAAATAATCATTTATTTCAGTACAGTGAAATACATCTGGATTACTATACTACAGCTTTAATTTAGAAGGTTTTGTTTTGATATTAGTTTTAAAAGAACTTAGGATAGTTAAATATTACATACCCTTAATAATGGTATAGGGAACACATCCAAAACATAAGGAAGCGCAGAAATTGAGCAATGGACCTCAGGAAGTACCCTAAGTAACCTTGCTTAGCAGAGCCTCAGCCCTTGGCTAGCGGAGTTTTCCTCCTTCTAAATCTTGGAAAAAAATAATCATATATATTCAGCTCTTGTGTTGTTCATCTGCTCTCACTGATGTCTCAGCTTGCAGCTGCACAGAATTTTTGATGCAGACAGAAAAATGGTCAACAAACCTTGATGACTTTTGTTCTGAAGGAGACGTCAGATGGCTCAGTTAAGGTCTGGGGTCATGCCAAGTGCTTTACACAATGTGCATATAAGAGATGCCTTTAAGGCCAATAAGGTGCAGTTTTCAAATGCTAGCAACACTTTGTACACACTGAGCCTATATTTGTAGCACTGACATTGTTTTCTGGCATTTTCCTTATCTTTTGCTCCACATTTATTGAAGCATAGGGGCACATTCATTTTAGGCAGCTGGCTTTTAAAATAGCGGATAGGTACTTACTACATGGATGTCCTAAAACTTTCACTTCATCAAGAGCCACATATCCTGGGTGACCTGAAGTGACCACTTCAAAAACAACCTGAGAAGCAAAAAGAGAATTTCAGTTACGATTTGTAACACAGGGAACATAAAAATATTCTGTTATGGAAAAACACACCAACACTTTTAACATGTTAAGAACATCTTGAAAACAAAATACAATCAAAAAATCCCTCAAAACGTGCTGTTTGTATTATTACAATTTACCAGAACATAAAATCACATTTTTTCATGTTTAAAGTATTTTTGAAGATTTACAAGCATGATCATATATAGCTCACAATTAGAAATAAACAAATCCCCCCAATATTTGGTCTGCCAAAGTAGTTACCCAATAATCATCTTAAATATTAAGATCAGTGTTTTATTTTCAATTCTTTGTCTTGCAAACTCCTACTTTTCTTAAAAAAAATTACATTTCCGAAGTATACAGAGATTTGCACAGTATCAGACACAAACATACCTATTTTCATGAATGTATTTTCCATGCTCTTAATCTTCCACCAAATGTAGTCAATTAAGTAAAGCAGATCCATTTGCCACGGTTTGTTTAATGGCTATAAATAGGTCACAAAATAAATGGACCGTTCTTGTTGTTTGAATTAAGTACACTGCAAAGTAAATCTCTCAAAATTTTGGCAGCCTTAGCTTTGAACATCCTAAGAATGTTTATGTGGAATAAAAGAAAATATGCCAGTAATGTTAGCAGGTACATCTCCACACCAATGCTCAAGAAACAGGTCGTGATTTTTTAAATTTTTTTTTTAAATACTTCCCTTCTGCTTGGAAAGTTAACTCTAACTGCTCTTGTAACTACTCTCAGGAAATACATTGAGAAAGACAAAGTTTAGAAACTACTTTTCACACATACACTGTACTTGACCTTGGAACAGATGCAGTACCATATCTTTTACTGCAACTATTTCAGCAGAAAGAGAATGACACAAAATGAAAACATGTCACAAGGATAGCATACAGCCCCATAATGTTATATCACAGTTTCCTGGTGCTGAATAAACACTGGCGGAGCACCAGTTCTGATGTTAAAACAAACCGTGAGGTGAGCAAATTCTTCACAATCTCTTGCCTCTGCCTTCTCCCAACTTTCTCATTGCTCTATCTGTGGACACCTCTCCCAGGTATCACAGAATGGTTTGGGCTGGAAGGGACCTTAAAGACCATCCAGCTCCAACCCCCTGCCATGGGCAGGGACACCTTCCACCAGACCAGGTTGCTCCCAGCCCCATCCAGCCTGGCCTTGAGCACGACCCCCGCGGGGGGGGGGCCAGCCACAGCTGCTCTGGGCAGCCTGTGCCAGGGCCTAACCGCCCTCACAGGGAAGAATTTCTTCTGAATATCTGACCTAAATCTCCCCTCTTTCAGTTTGAAACCGCTACCCCTTGTCCTATCACTGCCCTCCCTGATCAAGAGTCCCTCCTCTACCTTTCCTGTAGTCCCCCTTTCAGATGGCTTTGAGCAATCTCCTTATACTGAATGCTTCAAAAGAGTGGGAGGGCTGTCTTTTTTTTTAAATAAGGTATTTTTCAAAAAAACCTAGAAAGTTAACCAGAAGGCCGCTCTAAGGTCTCCCCGGAGCCTTCTCTTCTCCAGGCTGAACACCCCCGACTCTCTCAGCCTGTCTTCACAGGGAGCTGCTCCAGCCCCTGAGCCTCTTTGTGGCCCTGCGTGGCCTCCTCTGGACCCACTCGAGCAGGTCCGTGTCTGTCTTATGCTGGGGGCCCCAGAGCTGGACGCAGCCCTGCAGGGAGGTCTCAGCAGAGCAGAGCAGAGGGGCAGAATCCCCTCCCTCGACCTGCTGGCCACGCTGCTCTGGATGCAGCCCAGCATGCCATTGGCTTTGTGGGCTGTGACAGCTCACACTCAGGTTTTCATCTACCAACACCCCCAAGTCCTTCTCCTCAGGGCTGCTCTCCATCCACTCATCCCTCATCCTGTGTCTGTGCTTGAGGTTGCCCCGACCCAGGTGCAGGACCTTGCACTTGGCCTTGTTGAACCTCATGAGGTTCACATGGGCCAACCTCTCCAGCCTGTCCAGGTCCCTCTGGATGGCTTCCCTTCCCTTCAGTGTGTCGACCTCACCACACAGCTGGGGTCAGTGGCAAACTTGCTGAGGGTGCGCTCAGTCCCACTGTCCATGTCGCCAACAAAGATGTTAAAACAGCATCAGTCCCAACACTGACCCCTGAGGAACTTAGCATCTTCCTTAACTCCTTCTCTTTCCCAGTCTCACTGGAGTGAAATGACTGTAAATATGGCTTTAACTCCACATGGCTGACAAGGAAAAAACTACTTTTCATTCCAGTTCTGCCTCCTATCTGCACAAAAATTTCAAGCTACAGAGCCAATGTTGCCCCTAGACGAATCAGGCAGCCACAAGAAAACACAAGATGGCAATGAGGAAAATCCAAAAGCCACCAAAGGATTTTTGCAGAAATAAGTTCTGCAAGAAAAGGATTGCTCAGTCACAAGCTCCAGCCTGTGGCCTTCTAAATGCCCAATGGCACTCTGATGGCACTTGAAGCTGATATTGCTGATGCACAGCAACAGAGTGAACAGGGTATGGATTCGGCTCCCAGCATTCAGTAGAGCATCCAGAGCAAGACCATTCAAAATTTCAAAGCACCCCTTTCCTACAAAGAAGAAAATCTCCTGGTGGAACTGGTCTTAAGAACTATCTTGGGAAGCAGAAGCTATTAAAGAAGAAAAAAGCAGAAGCTATTAAAGAATAACTTGCATTCGAAGACCTGAAAGAGCTTTTCCAACCATGACCATTCTTACCCTCATCTTAAAAGCCTTGAAATGGAAATACAGAGAGATAAGCGATGTGCACAAAGTAACTCTAAGTTTTGATGGCAGTGCAAGACCCAGAATGCAGCTCCTGTTTTCACTCATTGAACTCCGAAAAAAGAACAATCATTTCTCGCTGCTAACAAATGTGAAAACAGTTGCATATTCTCAGTCTGTGTTACACTCTCTGAAAAAAGCGGTTATGCTGGTGCTCTTGGAAGGAGGAGGAGACTGCTCCATTTCCTGAAGAGTTACCAAGCCTATTCAAAATGGAGAAGAACTGAAAGACTGTAGGTCATGAGAACCATGGCATAGACCCAGGAACCTGCAGTTAATGCAGGGATGTTACAACACATTGGTGAAGAACAGGGATCCGGCAGCCAAGTCTCAGAAACGGCAGAAAAATTTCCTGGGGAAATATGCTGCCACTAAGAAAGTCACTGAGTTAATCGAATCTAAGTGTGGAGGGGCAAAGGCTTGCTTGTGAAAACACAGAGGGCTGGGAACAGTTACTGATTTCTCTCCTGTATTCCCTAGTGGCTTTGAGTTTTCTCTGTTAATAAGAAAAAAGCCAGTTAACTTTCTAGTTTTTATTGAAAAATAACCTTTTTTAAAAAAACAAAACAAAACAAAACAAAACAAAAAACAAAAAAAAAAACCCAAAACCTCCCTCTCTTTTGGAGCATTCAGTATAAGGAGATCTGCCCAAAGCCATCTGAGAGGTTTACCTGATCCATGATCCCATCACTGCAGAGCAGGAGGTTTTTTCAGGTTCTTCACTTTTAGATATGCTAAATTCTAAAAAACCCTGGGAGGAACTGGCACATGCACACCTCTGAAGCAGCCAGCCAAACCAGTCAGAAGTTTTCTGCTAAAAATATTACTGTCAGACAATGGAGATTTAACTAATTTTTTTCAAATGTTGCATAAAAGTGTCTTTTACAAAGAATTACCTGACTTCCAGCAAAACCAAATACCTGGCCTCTAGAGAAGAAAACATGCATAATACCCAAGTAGAAGATCTCAAAATAATTTATATAATTCATAACCGGGCAGCTTAGCTACAGGCTCTCCGAGAGGTTTTAAGTACTTCATTACTGCAATATACTCGCAGACAAAAAAAGCTTGTAGAACCCATTCCTTCAGTTCACAGGCAGAAACTACAACCTTGAAATAACTGAATCAGACCTGCTTATGACAACAGAGAAAGACTCAATGAGTGATCTGAAATATCCTGCCCTATCTCTAGACAACATACCAAAACTGTCATCACCACAAAAAAAGCAGGCAATGCATCAAGAAACTGCCAGCTGGACATACTACTAAATTACAATTACTGCCATTGAAGAAGGCATGTTTCAAAGAAAAGTAATACTGACTGAAACATTGTCAGTTTAATCATGTTTCCATTAAAAGCAAGAGTCAAGCTGTAATCAACTTTAATGATCATATGTTTTGGTCTCTTCTGACATAAAATAAGCAATTTTTAGTGACTAGAAAGAGCCACTACAGCCAGTAGTGACATAGCATTTTCAGAGACATCGTTGATGTGCCTTTTACTTCATATATAAAAGAACATGACACCTATTCCAAGTATCGTAATATAATTTCCATTTTGTTCACAGGCTGTGAAATACTATCAACTGCTGTATCCAAATCCAGTATTTTGTTTTATTTAAATTAATAAATGAAGCCTACGGTCCAAAATATCCGCTTAACTAAGCATTTTCCCTTTTTACACTGAAAAAAAAAGTTTGATGCTACACATGACACGTTTTGAAAAGGTCTAGTAAGTGTGCTGCACACTGTAAAAGGGTGCTCAGGAACAGACCTAGAAACACTTCTGAAAGCTCATTTATTCATTGAAAAGCTTGTATTAGGGATGTCAAGACTATTCACAAATCTCAATCAGTTTTGCTAGTAATTTCACCAGAAATGGAATCTAGAAACTTGTTTCACATCCAGTTTTTTTCCATCATTTCACATTTGAAAAGCTGCTTGTCTTGGAAAAGTTAATACTTTCACTCCTGCCTTCAAACTTTGCCTCTCCTCGTGGCTGACACAACACCTGCAGGCAATATAACAGACCCCAGTCGAAACAGAGACAACACTCCAAAGCCAGACTGGGCAGCCCTTGGATTTTTTGCCTATTATTCTGTCACCTTATCAGTCCAGAAACAAGCAGTTAAAAGACTGAATTCATTTGCTCAGGAAAAACTCTGCCGAACATTG